GACCACGGAGATGTTACTAGGGGCCAGCTTCCAAGGCCACAGGCTTCTTTAAGTGACAATGTGCTGTCCAGATGCAGTTATTCTCTATGCTTGGCGGGGAGATCAATGGCAAACAATCCAATTTTTGTACTTTCATGCAATTATTTTCCACTAATCCGTAACATTAAAGATAGGTTTGTAATGCATTTGTTAGTGCAACTATTTGTGATTAACAGTTCACCCAGCTCTATTTCCATCTGCTGGTGGTACCCCTTTTGATTTGTTCGGGTCATGTCTGACCCCCCAGTCCAAGAGGTTCAACAGGTGCTCGCAGTTGAGAGGGATCTGCTTCAGTTCTCAGAGCTATCATACACATCACAAAGAAGGGCAAGAGTTGGATTCTCCTAGCGCCAGCTGACAGCTGAGTAACCCAAATCAAAGGACAGAGGCTGTGAAAGATGCTGCACACGGTCAGACAATACGAGAGCCAAGCCTGACAAGAGGCTAACTCACTAAAACTAAAAGGATCCCTTGCTAAAGACAACCTGTGAACAGAAATGCTTATCTGATATCAAATACAGGCTGCCTGAATATACAAAGGAAGTGATTTACAAAGGAAGTGAATATACAAAGGAAGACAAAGGTCTAGTTTAAAAGGAATAATGCTAATGAAGACCATTTTGTTACACTGCAAAACCCATGAGAAGAATCAGCACCCAGTGAGTAAATCAAAAACTAAGAGGTTCCACAAACAAGTTATAAACCTTCAGAGTAATAACTTCATCTGTGTGTGCCATGTCTCTGGTTGGAATTTCCCCCATTGGATATAAATGGGAGGAAACCAGTACACGGCTTTTGCCCAAGGGTGCTCAAACCTGCAAACAGAATGTTTCTGTGCTTTGCCTTTTTCTTGGTTACTTGAAAGGCAGTAACAAAAGTGAGAAGATGCCTGTGTGTACACATGCATGCAAACGGTTCAGATTACTATCAAACAGAGCAGTCAGGAAATTCAGTTAACTCTAAGGGAAACAGGTATTTCATCTGGATTCCTAAGTTAAAGAATACATACATAGAGAGAGAATATATATATGAGCTTCTTCCATTTTATTTTTGTAAAGGTGATCAAACCCAGACATGTAATTCTAGACAATGTTTGTCACTGATGGATTGGCTTTCTGAGGAAAGAGAGTATTGCTCAAGAGAGTTACTCTGATTTAATCTAGAACCGTTATTCACGGCCTCTCAGTTGACTGGGGACATTTTGGAGACTGAAAAGCATCGTCCTATGCTCAATATAGTAATATCATGTCTGGAACACAACACATAAACTAACATATACCAGGTGATAACCACCGCCCTCAAAGTGGAGAGTACACACGTGTGCGCCCAAGGGTATTTTTACACATTCAATTCATAAATGCCTTCACTCAGAAAACTGTCACTAAAATAATGCTCAGACACTCTGGATATTTACAGTAAAGATATAGAAAATAATCCTTTATGGACTTATGATTGCCTGCACCACCTGTTCTTTGTTATGGGGAGCGCATCTGGGAGTTCGTTATGTTACAAATGGAGAGTGCTACAGAAAGAAAGAGGATGACATTGAATTCTTCTCCACTGTAAAGGTCTTGTTACTGACAATACAGCATGAGCAATTCCTAGGTTTGCTGAGCAGGAAGAGGTATGCTGCGGTCATCCAAATTCCAAGGGCTGGTACTTCCAAAACCAATCGAAAACCAAAACCCAGGATTGATTGTTGCTCCAAAAAAGCAACCTCTGGGATGGCGAAGGGGATTACGCTTGTTTCTCTGCTCTTTTCCAAACAGACTGCACCCAATAAACTGCTTATGTGTTTTCATAACCACTTCATACTGGAGGCTGCTGTTCACTGGCAGGAAAGTTTCTTCAGATGAGAATGAAGAACAACTGAACACAGGCCCACAGAGACTTCCTGAAGAAAAATAAGCATCAAAAGTGATTCTAAGCTCCAAGGCAAGTGAACAAAAATTTGTCTGCCATTGCACCAAAAGGAAAATGTCTCTGGAAGCATCCTCCTAAGCAAACTACACACATGCGAAACCACAACGCACACACCTTCCATGAACTCTGGATCCAACGGCTCGTTGCTATCAAATCTAAGAGGGAGACTGTCTCGGGTAACAGTGACAAGCACTTTGGCTAGCCCTTGTTAGTCCCGTTTCCTCCTCACTCAAACATATGCTGAACTTGGAAGACAGAGTGTGATAAACGTAAGGGAGCCGAGGAGGAATTCCCCGTGATGTGGGAGAACTGCAGATGGGGATAATAGCTGCTAATGCAAGACATTATACACAATGTAGGAAGGTGAGGAACAGGGTGACATCGAGTGAGGAAGGTTTCTGAATATACTTGTAACTTTGAAGCCATGTGTAGCTCTGAAACCTATTTAAGGAGCATACAAGTGCCATGTGCTCCCCACGATGTGCACTTGTCCACGTTTTAACAACAACCAGAGTTGCGGGCCCCCCCTCCCGTGAGCACGCCACTGTGTTTGAAAGGCACTGAACTCACTGGTCTGCCTCTAACCGCACTGCCTTGTTTTAACTTTAACCACACTGCCTTGTTTTAGCTTTAACCACACTGCCTTGTGTATGGCTCTAAGGTGTCACTGCAAAAATACTGAACTTTAATACTAAAATCTAATTCAGAATTTACAATGTACCCCATGGTGGATTTTGTAATTGTAAATATCCCGAAACAACTGGATCTCTGCAAACAGAAACAGCACTTACCTGCTCCTGTTAAATAACTCCTGCCTGGCGCTTATGATGAGTTGGACATAAAGACTGCTGGTTTACTCCAGCAGAAGCACAGTTAAAAAGGAGTATGAGCGATGTGCATAAACAGACCCAGAGGCAAACACTTGAGAAGGGTAAGAACTAATGAAGCTCAAGGCCCATGCTGGCATAAGAACAAATGGTGAGAAATTGGCCGTGAAGAAATTCAGGTTGGAAATGAAACAACCTGATGTTTTCAGATGAAAACTCACAAGAGGATGACCTGGCTGTTTGCAAGACCAAGGGCTTGAATACAGGTGACCCAGGATGCCTTGCACTTCCAGTCATACACCCTAAAAACACAACGCATTTTAACACTCTTGCAAAATAACTATATGTTAAATCCTGGTCCAAATCTGCTCATCAAAAAAAATATGATATACGCTATAAATAATAATAGAAAAATACCTACGAACTTGGATGTGAATGAATTTTCAAAGGTTCCCAAAATCCCCACGGATCCTCATTCAAGCTATCAAGACTATGAAGGTTCCTTTCCAGCAATAGCTAGGGCTAAGGTAGACCTGCGTAAACCCCATTACAACAACAAACTCTGGGAGATCCTTTCACTTCTTATCAATATTCTTATTCCTACCCCTCAAAAATGAGGGGAAAGAAGTGCAGACGTGCCATCCCTCGCTGCCACAGAACACAGATATCAACCTTCTTATCTTTGATGCCTTCTGGAATTTGTTTTAACTCCCCCCTGCCACAGAAGCTCAAGAAAATAATTCAGAAGAATAAGCAATGCACATAGAGAATACAGCAATCGGTCAACAGCCTGGCCCATTCGCTAGCCTCTTCTGCTGGCTTTGGCGAATGTTCCACAAGCATCTATTGACAACACACACAGATTTATCAAGTACATTTGGAACATCCAATGATTTGCTTCATGGGGGGCTTTTATCCCAGCTGTAAAACCAGCAACCTCTGCATTTGGGGCATTCACACTAGGCAGGTGAACCACTTCCCCCTTGGAACACAGCGATTTGTACTTCTTAAGGTATCATAAAAAAGCTGTTCTATTGTCAGCTGAGCCTCCTTCAGATTCAAGTTTCAGCCTCAGCTTTTACTAATTCTAATGAATGGATTTTTAGGCATTAAATAAAACGGCATTTTATTTTGAGTGCCTTTTGCAATACTCAGCTTCAATGGAATCGCCATTACAATCGATCCAACCTTTTTGCATTGTTTTGCGCTATTTCACCTGAAAAAAAAACCAAATTTCCTTTCTTTCCCTTCTCCCCTTTTACTGATAGTTTAAACCCCCCCTACAAACCACCCAAACAAAATGCCCAAATAAGGCTGCCCTTGCTAAATCACCTCCTCTTCCCCTCAAAACTCCATTATTTAGCACATAGGCAGCTCTTTAGCCATGAGCATCCAAGCAGTCCTACTGCAGGAAACCCTGACAACATCACAAACATCCTCTTTCTGGACAAAAGCATGCTTAAATATCGACAACAAAGAAAGAGGAGATGCCGATCGCTGCCCAGATAGAGCTCTAAGGTTCTGGACAGTAAAACCAAAGTTTACCCTTACTGGTGCTTTGCTTTATTAAAAACGTTACATTATTTGCAAGGACAAAAGATGCTGCTCATCAGGTAGGCAGGGGTTTTTCCAGCATAAAAAAATCCTTTTCAGTTTGAACTACTGCTCCCACCATCATTCACTTTAGAACCAGGAATCAATTATTTACAAGGTTCTAGTCTGAAGTTATTAAAAACGGCTCTGTGCTTTCAAAATCCCTTTCCTGTCTTTCTCTCTGGACTGGAAAATACCTATTGCAACCAAGGTTTAATTGCAGCACACGGAGCGCGCTCACTAGCATGGCTTTTTTCTTTCCCCTCTATCCTGTTTTTATTTTCCGATTGAAATGCTGTGGGTAGCAAAGTAAAGATTCTACTGTTAAATACATATGTAATTGCATGCTGACATACGTACATACATTTGCCACTACGCCCGTGTTTATTGACTGGAAATTTCTAAGTAATTAGAAGGAAAAATACGGGAAGCTTTTGCAGGTGGAAAGTGAACGTACTTACAGAAGCTCTAAGGAAATGATCCTTGTGCTAACACAGTGCTATCACTGTTGAAGAAAATAGAGCAGATGTGATGACTCTATAAATATACACACTCTTCTCCCAGAATTCAGGACACTGTGCAGCACTGCATTCTCATCCTGCCTCATTTGATACTCACAGACAGACTGTAAGAAGGTTCCAGTATCACTGGCACTGACATCTTCCCTTGAAGATTCAATTTGGTTAAGTAAAAAACCTTCTCTCCCACAACCCTCTCCTTTTTCATGCGCCGTACGCTGTAGAGTCTGAAGCGAACCGCGTAATTCCCAATCATCTCTGACTCCACGTGATTGAATTTGAATGTCTCTGTGAAGACAGGGCACGGTCCCCGCTGGATGCTGGTTTTCGCTCTCTGCTTCTTTATAGGGAGAAGAACTAGGTGTACTTGCCACGAGCTTCCACCTGTCCTGCTGTAAGTGGGAATGTCTGTGACAGCTGTCACTGTCACCAAAAGCTTCTGTTCCTGTGAGTCATAGTCAAAAGTCACATCCAGTGTGCCGTATTTAGCTACTGGCTCAGGATCAAAAGGTTTAGGAAGCTGTGAAGACGATCCTCGAGCTGACATATCCTGAAGAGGAGGAAGAAAAAAAACCCAGCTATTTATTTATTTATTTATGGTATTCTATCATTAAAATTAGCATGGAAATATATGGCTTTCCCTAAGCAATATGAAGGGACTACAGTCATCTTATTCCTTTCAGACACTATGCACTTAAGAGAGGAGACAGCCGACTAGCAGCCAAGAAAAATTCAAAAGCCTTTACCTGGCCAATACTACCAAAAGCCAGGAGCCAACCAGACAGAGCTCACGTTAAACTGGGATCCACTTCTGATCTCTTCTCTATGCCCAACATGTTAAAACGCAGATACATTTGCTACAAGATAGAACTGCCTCATTCCAGTGCCAGGATGCACTCATTTTGAAGTGAACATTATTATTAGAGTGGTTTAAGAGCTGACTAGTGACTTGAGAGCACGGCGAGACCCGGCAGCGAATACAGGAATGCCAACACCTACTTGCTCGTGTAGCTCTTGCTGCACTCCACAAGCTTCTATGAACGTGCCAAGAGTTATCATGGTTTTCTTAATGTACTTTTACTGGAACTGTGTAAGATGCATCTGTCCTGAACACACTTCCTGAACCTTCTGCAAACAGCATCAGCCCTGAAGCTGCACTTCAAACTTACAATTCAGAACGTTTATCGTCACTGCAAACTCTGAACAAAATACAGATGCCCTACATTGTCACAACAGGTAATTTGATAGCTATACTGAAACACAAAATACCTACAAGTGCAGGTCAACCTACTGTTCATAAGCTATTCCAGGGATGTAAACCAAATGTATTTCCTGTGTATTATCAAAGATACACTGGCTCATGCTGGACGAGGCCTTGGGTGATATGGTTTAGTGTGAGGTGTCCCTGCCCACGGCAGGGAGGCTGGAACTGGATGATCTTAAGGTCCTTTCCAAGCCTAACTATTCTATGATTCTATGATTCTGTGTACATGAATAGATACCGTAATAAAACCTTCTGGATTTAAAAATGTCATGTTTTTATTTTAAACCAATTGCTACACTGCCACTGGGATTTGTTCCTCTGAAAGCTTTATTCTTCAAGTTGTTGAGTGGCTATAAAAAAAAGCTGGCAGTATTCTCAGCTCTTATTGAGTATGCCTACATTAATGACTGGTGTGACACAAAACGGGAAGAACTAGGATTAGATTTGCTGCAATCTGTTAGGGTTTGAGGACCATATGTACACACGCTTCTTCCCCAGTAATGCAGATCATACAGATTCTGGTCCTAGCTCATCAGCAGGTACATACAGAGCGCTAGCTACCTGGAGGAAGTTGCAGCTGCACCTTCCACGTGTTGCATCAACACCGCAGGTATGCAACATCAGCTTCCCAAGAGGTCTACTAAAATAGAAACAACGGCTGACACATCAGGACTGAGCCCTAATATGCACTTCAAATCTTTGGGTAAAAGAGGCAAAAGACAAATGTGTACCAAAAAGAGCCCCTTCTGCACATGACATCACTAATGTAGCCTTACCACTGGTAGCAGTGCAGAAACTGGCTGTTAAAAGACTTGTCAAGGAAGCACATGTCAGAAAATAGGATTTCCTCATAGTAAAAATAAATGGGTATCTTTACAGTTCATAGCAGAGAAAAGGAAAATTAAGTGGACCAAACCTCTATACTACCATTAACAATTTAAAAGAAGTCTTTGTAACGCTTCCTTCCCTCCCCCCCCCCCCCCCCCCAAGATGTTTTACATTATGGGGTGTTACAAGCAGAAATCCTATTTTTAATAATTTCTAACAAACTAAACGAATGAGGTGCAATATCAGTGTTCGTGTAACTGTGCAGTCATCTTTAGGTAACAAAAGGATGCTGAGGAGCAGCATCACTGCATGACGCTTCAGAACACTCGGCTGGTTTTATTTACCTCTGGACTAAGGACAGCCGTGCTATCACTTGGTACATCCTCTTCGTATCCTTTGTTATGAAAGCTTTCTATTTCGTGTCCCGTGCTTCCCTCGCTTGGGCACTTATATGAACATCTTGGACTGTTGCTACACTGGGAGAATTCACATTTACTGTCTCCGACTTCCGAAGGCGTACAGGAAAGATGAGGAGAACCACTATCATCCTGGTACGGAGGCGGCTGCAGCTCATCCAGGGGAGGTGTTCTTCTCATCCTCTGAATGCAGTTTGCTGGGAAGAAGTGAGAATTCTTTACTTACTTTCTGCTTATTTACTGGTGAATCACATCTGTGGAAAATGGTCACTGTAAATAGCTGGAGAGAGTGGTTAAAAAACTAGAAATGCTCTTTTTTTTTACTTTACATTTCAAATGAGATAAAAAATACTACTGAAACGTTTGTGAAAAGATGGAAATGAATGATCTCGCAGATGAAAGAGATGCAGATAAAAGCCAAGTATTAAGTACACGGACACAGTGGATTTCGTAAAGCAGATATAAATAAACAGAGCACAAATATGACATGACAAACATTCTAGGCTTGAATTGCAGGGATGCTTACCTTGCAAAAACCTGTGCGTCTCTTAAGTCAGATTCCGTGCAGGTGGAATGTAGACCAATTAAGGACACAAAATGCACTCCCTAAGGCCATGATATCAAACTTCTGATTACCTCCCATGAAGTTGCTCACCCAGGGAGATACTAAATTAAGCTCCGAAGACAGCTAAGGTGCCAACAAAGGCAGACATAAGCATTTTCACACAAGTGAACTCTGCTCACTGGTGAATTTAACAAGTGAAGCAACGTCTCAGATTCTTTATTACTTGTTAAGGACAGCTAAAGGGTATGCGTGTATCTGGTGTCTAGAAGTTAGACACCAGATCCGGTCACTAAAGACAGTGGAAAAGGGATCATGAGCAACCTTGTGCTTGGGATGAATACTTGACGCTGACCATCTCTGCTTCTCACACTAGACAGACAGAAACGTGGTTATACATCTCCTCAGAAAATAAACCTGATGCATGGCTATGGATACAGGAAGTTAATTCAAAATAATTACATTTCCATGTTTGACCTCATATTGTGCTAGGCAGCATTATTATAATCTCATATTGTGCTATGCAGCAATACACAGCTGCTAGACCTGGGAGGAGACAGCAAGGCATGCAGTAGTTGAAATGAAAGGAATACCAAGAACAGGTAAAAACCTGTATCCCATTTTGTGTACACCTTCTGTAGAGATTTTAATGAAGATTTCCATGCCCCTCACACACACAATTACCTCATACACAGAAGTTTTAAACCACCACTGCTTTCTGGTGTCAGACACATCGCTTTCACCCACAGGAAAATCTGCCAAACGAGGAAGTTAACAAAAGTATCGACGTCAGAACAACATAAGCTTTGATTTCAGCGTCATCTAACAATGGAAAAGACCTTGTTTCCCACAAGAAAAAGGTGGTACGTTTTAGCTTCGTCATCAATTTTTTGTATATAGGATTGCCCTGTCTATGTCCTGCATTCTCAGCAAGGAAATAAACCTTTTGTCTGCTTCAGAGGCAACTGCCAATTGTTCAACCTGTCACACAAACAGAGTATGCTTAAGAGCTACTCTTTATGGAACAAGGCTGGAAAGGCAATAGTATGGCTCTCTTGAGAAACTGTCTCAGGCTCCCTTTTGTTCTCCTTTCCTTCGGAAGTCTGGGCTGTATCCAACTGTGGATATACTGGAATATTTCACACCACCTGGGATGATGGAAACCCAAACCACCGTTGTTTCAGTGCATACAGTCCATGGGAAGGAAACCCAGCTACATTGGCTAGAAGGGAGCCGATGTGCACTGCAGATCCCCAGGGCTGGGCAACTGAAGGATAGTTTATTATGGAGCGTATCCTACTACCTGGATAAATATATAACTGGGGAATGCAGGGCTTTCATCTCTTTCACTGGGCTCCTAATGGAACCCCTCTTAGCTTTAGCTAAGGCAAATCAGTAATTAAAACACTCCTACAGATGACACTGCTGTCAAGAACCCTCTCTTCTTTGATAGACCCATCAGAGCCAGCCTGCCATTTAGAGCGAGTCCAAATTACTGTTACAGTGCACCCGTAAAAGGTCTTCTGCTGTTAGCTAGCCCAGTGCCACTAACACTTGAAACTCCAGTTCCAAGGGCTGGAAAGGAAAGCAGAGCAGGCAGGGGATCCTATACTTGAAACATAGTCATCAGTCTAGCAGATACACACAAAACCTTATATAAGAAATAGAGTGAAATGGGCCAGTCAGCATCTTGAAATCACCAGGCAGCAATAGTGAGAAAGCTTTATTTACAAAGCAGAGAGATGGGAAAGCACTTGGGTTTGGGGTTTTTGCTGAGGTTTTGCTGTTAGGTTTTTGCATTAGATAACTTGTGCCTATGAAACTAGGTAGACAAAGTTTTAGAATCTAAAGTGCTACTTTAATCATAATAATCTCCTTTGACTCCCTATACCATGAAAACAGGGCTTCCTTTTCGTGATTTCTATAATGAAATACTCCAGGAAACATAGAGCAACAACATTTCTGCTCGTTGGAGCTAAAAGGCATCAAACAGCATTAACTGAGACAGTAACCACCAGGTAGTAGCTATGTAGTTTCTTTCTTTTCACCTGCAGTCAAGCCTGTGAAGACTTTTAAACTCCCAGCTTTTTGCATGATCTAACGCAAGGAAAGCGCGGCTGGGTAACTATCAACACATTATTGTCTTACAGGAGTAAATAAGTGAGGGTGTGACTCACTTTTTTCACTTTGATGAACTCCATTATACATCCCTATGGGAAAACGGCACAGAGAAGGTACCTTTAATGTAGGTGGGAGAAAAGTGAAGGAAATTCTTATTCACCAGCTGTGATTCCAAAGTCTCAGAACAAACTGAAACACTGGGGTAGCGGTTTAGCTATTGCATTTGGAAAGTATCATCTACCAAACAAAGCAGGTAAACTCTTCAACCAAACAGCCTGGTTTATCACTCTAAGGACACCCCTGCCTAAACAGGTAGAAAATGGTTTTGCACATCGTTTACATAAGAAGATAGCAAAGTTGAATGCACAAAAATATACAGCCACTGCTAATGCATGCTGGCCTAAGTGACTGTATTGGAGAAAAACGCTTGGAGCTGAAAGGAAAGCATGATCTGAAGCGTTGGCATGTCTACGTGTGGAACCACTGCCTCTAACATACCTTGCATCATTCATTTAAGGTGTAAACTTAGACACAACTACACTTCACACAGACAAAGCCAAAGAATACACTCCAAAGACCACCGGATGTGCTAATAACAACTGCTATCATAGAATCATAGAATAGTTAGGGTTGGAAAGGACCTTAAGATCATCTAGTTCCAACCCCCCTGCCTAGCAAATGGTTACAGTGAGAATCCAAAATGAATCGTTGCATCGTTTCTACGCAGGTTTCCCCAAGAAACTTTCCACTCCCAAACCAGACAGAAAATATGTTTTGACCATTCCCCCAATTAAATTAATCATATTCAATGACCACCCCCGTTTGGACTAGACAAAACCAAGCCTGGAAGTAATAATCACGGAGAAGCCAAACTGGGTGTAGTGTGAGGTTCCTCCCAGCCAGCAAATGCCAGAACAGAGGAAAGACAAATTAGAAAGAGAGATCCCACGTTCAGTTTTCTACCCAAAGTGTGGGAAATGCCTTTGTATTCTCATAATGCATTGTTATTAAATTGTTTAGCAACAAGTACTTAATAAACTCTAAATTGAGAATCCAGTGTATTGCTGTCAAGAGGCAGATTTGAATAGTCAATCTTTTAAGGGTTAACTGCTTTAGTTAGAATTTCCACCCCTCTTTAGTGGGCTGGGAAAACACTCATACAGTGGTAATAGTAAAGTCCTTGCTGAAGAAACCAGAACTACAAGTGAAATACCAGACAAACACAAGCAGATTAGCACCTCGCTGGTATGCTCAGAGATTACAGCATGTCAACTGTCATTAGCACATTTAAATCAGAAGTACATAAATACCTTCTCTTCACTGCTGTTTGTTAAACAATGAAGGTTCATCTGTTTTCCCAAGTCCCTGCACTGACTGAAAGCCCAGGGGACGTGACACACATCTTGCCATCAACCTCAGGGGCCTGTCAGTGAGATGTGACACAGCAACCTAGGCCAAAACATGCATTCCTGGAACACACAAGTGGTAAGTCTGAAGAAAACACACAAACTTTTCCAGGCATTTTTCTGAATGGAATCACAGCTTAAAGATAAAGACAGGCTGAGAACACTGGGGCTGTTCAGCCTGGAGAAGAGAAGCTGCGTGGAGACCTCAGAGCAGCTTCCAGGGTCTGAAGGGGGCTACAAGGATGTTGGAGAGGGACTCTTCATCAGGGACTGCAGCGACAGGACAAGGGGTGATGGGTTCAGACTGAAAGAGGGCAAGTTCAGGTTAGATCTAAAGCCCAAGCTCTTCCCTGTGAGGGTGCCGAGGTGCTGGCACAGGGTGCCCAAGGAACTGGTAAATTCCCTATCCCTGGCAGTGTTCAAGGCCAGGCTGGACAGAGCCTTCAGGGGCATGGTCTGGAGTGAGGTGTCCCTGCCTGTGGCAGGAGGTTGGAACTGGATGATCTCAAGGTCCTTTCCAACCCAAAGCATTCTATCATTCTATGATTCTATTTGAACTTTCTGCTTCTGATACTCCTCATTTCCCCTCTCTGTCCAGGTCCCCTGAGGACCACACTAGCTAGGCTATACCACATTCCATCATGAAGCTGGTAATGTTCCTTTCCACATTTACAATGCTTAGACTTTGCTATTTTAATGGATTTTCCCAAAGGTTCTCAGCAGCACAAACCGAGCTCTCTTTAGCCTGTACTTCCCAAGCCATTCCAAGAACATCCATCTCAACGTATGGGAAAACAAACTATCCTCTTAGTTTTAATTCCCCTCTCTCAGTAGCAGTAATTAACAACGCTTCTGCAACTTGGGAGTTTTTATATATATATATATGTGTGTGTATATATATATGTGTTCTTTAAATATTCATACTATTGTGGGAGGCAACAAAACTTCTTTGGCAATCTGGTTTCCAGGTCCTTGAAAACAAATAATCCCTATATGACTTAATCATTTTAGCAAGTCCTATATTGTAATTATCAGAGTATCTTCACACTCCAACAGCACCTTTTTGGCCTCTAATAGGTCTCCACATACACTAATGCTCCCTAATTAT